GACTTAAATACTTAAGTGTAATTAACTCTAAGAAAATCTTAGCAGGTAAAAATGTTTTCGAAGATTGTGGGGAAAATAAATGTAAATAAGAACTTTAAAAACAGGATCTATGATAAGGTGATTAAGATGATTAATTACAAAAGAAGCTTCACATTGATGTGGTTGTTACTTGTAGAAATACTAGAAAAATGTTTATATTCAATCGTTATCTATTAAAATACTAAGAAATGTACTAATTTAAGAGTGATAAATGAGAATAATTTTGGAAGAAGAGAAAATCAAGAAAAGCTACTATGTGGATTACAGAATTATAGAAACTAATTGTTATTGATTGTTTGTAAATACGATAGCTTAATTTAGACTTGGGATGTTATGTATTTATCCCTGTACTCAATTCTGGGAAGTCCGGGGGGGAGGGGGGAAGGGGATGAAGGGATAGAATTATATAAAATTTGGTGTATTTATAAATATAATGTAGATGTTTGTCTTTAAGAAGAGGAGATGATCGGCTGGTACCCCTAAACTGCATCCGAGGTGGTGGAAAAGAAGGTGATGGGATGTGTAGGATAGTTGGAAAGGAGGAAAGAGGAGAGGTTGTGGTTAAGAGGGGGAGGAAGGAAGAGGGAAGTAGGTAGGAAGGTTGAGGGAGTGTGGATGCAGGGGGGGGGACCGCCGATTATTTCTAAATACTTACTGAGTAGGCTTTTTATGTGTTTGTTTTTTTAATGAAATGCACCATATTTGTATTATTTGTTTATGTTTATTTGAAAAATTAATAAAAAATTTGTAAAAGATAACCCAGACAACATGCTGTTTACGAAATATCAAGGTGATTATGTTAAAAAAATATATATATTTAAAAAAAACAAAAAGCAAACATATCAATTTGCAACCAGCCTACGAGTCTGTAAGGAGTCGGATCAATTGTGCGACCAACCAACGACAGCGTTGACCATCAGTCAACTCACATGACCTCCAGCCAGGGTGACCTCACCACCAGGTGACCCTCACAAGGCGTGACCAGCCAGTCATGTGACCGACTGACCACATAAGATCAATAAAAGCAGAAGAGAACTGAAACAAGACACTTCAACCGAAGTCCTTCTGAAGATGTTACCTAGTGTGGTGACCGGAAACTAAACAACAAGCTCGGACAACAAACCAACAACAACATTTTCTCTCTCGTCCTTTCAAGATATTTTCAGCTTTCCTCCTAATGTTTTGGGGCCTTTTCTCCTTGTTCCACTTTAATTCCCTCTTATTGCTGCCATAAAGAGAGGCACCTGCAACTTGACTCTCCTTTCTTCTCCTCCCTCCATCTCTTTCTCTCTTCCAAGGGCCCGCATTAAATTTGCTAGATAGATAAAATAAAGGTTGGACTCTTATTGCAAGACAGCAGATGAGATTACTGGTAAAAAAACTGAATACAAAGTGTTCTTAAGAGCTGCACAAAAGCCATGGCAATAAGCAAACTATGGCTTCTAGGAGGAATCGTCTTTTCCTAACTATAAGCTCTAGAAAAGACATTTGCAATAACACTTAAAATGTTATTCCGATAAAGGGCTTAAAGTCTGGCCATTACAATCCCTTTTGCACTAGAACAGGAAGCAAGCCTCACCTTACCCCTCCAAGTTTAACAGACCAAAATAATTTCTTTAGGACTCCTGTTCTGCTATTTCCAGGGAATTCAGGCTCACAAGAGTCATCAATGCAAACTGGAGGTTTGTGAAATCTCGCATAATTTCCACGCACAGGGATTCACTCAGTTTCCATGTCTACATTATTATTATTCTTTTGCATGTTTCTCTGGTTTCCCTCCCCCCCCAATAAATGGCTAATTCAAATTAACAGAACAGTACACCACCTCTGATCCCCTAAGAGCCTATTTTTAATGATCTCTCCAGGTGGACTCTGACCACCCCTTCCACAATTTTTGCAAAACTGTGTTGTTCGGCTTGTCAATTGTTTCCTTCAGGGTGTGCCTCTAAAACTAACAAGTCCTGCCATGTTTACAAACAGTTTATTTCACAGGTTCTCAGTAAAACTGATTTAACTCAGAGAACCTGTCCAAAGTAGAAGCAACATGGTTTACTCCCACTTCCTTTTGAAAACTTGGGGATTTCCCCCTAATCTCTCTTTTGTTTTTGAGGCAGTCTTGACTCTTAGCATTGTTGGCAACTGGAGGGAGGGGAAGTACCTTGCCAGCAACAACTTCCTTGGGCTGAGAGACCATGACTGGCCCCAGGTCACCCAAAGGGATGCCATGAAAAAAAGGCAAAACCAGAACTCACAATTTTTAGCCTGGTACCTTCAATCATAACATCAAACCGGCTGTCTATAAAACTTGGTTAGCCCTTCCTTCCCTTGACTTTAAAAGAAAGACAGGAAAAAAAGCGCACACATTTGACAACAGCCTGCTACTCCTTTTGCAACGGCAAGGAGTTCCAAATGCACACACTGAATTTGATCTTAAAGCTCACATATCAAACTTCACCCCTTTTGTTCCTGTTGTCTGGATCCATTACTAAAAACTGGAATCATCAACCAAGTTTTTTACACACTGTATAAAATTCCCAGGCACTACCTAATCCCTAGATGTTCCTAACTGGCCAAGTCAACCAATAACTGAACTCCAGGGTAACATGTATAACAGGATCCAATCTGGGTCAATGATGGCTAGCCCAAGCTCTACCTGCCTTGTCTAGAAGAACCAGCTGACCTTTAAAAGCAGCCATTTCTTCAGTTGGCTGCTGTTCCTTTCTCCGATTAGCTTCTAATTGTTCCCAGACATTATGGAGATCAGTGAGAAAGACCCGTCCCAAACAGTCCTCTGCCCCTTTTTCTCTCCCATGTCCCAAAGCTGCAGGCGTTTAAGCACTGCCTTGGGAGATGGAAAGATGGGGACTGTTGACTGAGATTTATCATTTGAATTTGGCTGTTTGTCAGTTGAGGAGTGAACGTTGGAATGTCCGGTGACAGTTGAAAACGGACATTTTGGAGAAGAAGGGAAGAGATGCTGGTCATTCGGCATTGGAGAGGGTGAGAGACAGCTGCTACTATCTGTCCGAAGCCACCAATTGAGGAGATTTTGGTTTTTGCTTCAAATACATATTCTACTGCTATTGTGTATGCAACCTGTAATACCTATACCAACTCATCCAAACCACACTGCACTTAAAATTGAAAATAAAATCAAAATCAAGTCATTTATTTAGTGTGTGGCCTAGAGTATATGGATGGCAGCAGTAAAAATATACAAAAGACTATGGTACATGTGTGACGGGAATATGTAGTCAATTTTGTAAGTTATATGTAAGTTGTAGGTTACATTAAGTTATACAACTATCACAGATATTCCATTTATCCAAGAAGAAATTATTCCTACGTCGTATCTTGTATGCCATTAGCTGTTGTACACACATGCATTATGTAAATGGAAGCTAAACTATTCTTCTTACCTGGATTTTTAAGCTTCATTATCACTATATTAATGAGAAGGATTTTAGCATTTTTAATATGGCAGTTCAGGTCTCTATGTATAAGAAAGCATGTTTTTCTTTTAACTGAGGCCACTTCTTTAGGCATGCAAGAGCCAGCCTTTTTAACAACTACTACACAACAGGAAGTGTATTCTGAAAGTTCTGAACATCCATGCAACTGTCAAGAAAAATACTAACCTAGCTGGGGAAAAGTAGCGTAACCCTTACATTTGTCACCAGTAGAATATTATCTAGAATCAATGTTTTCTACTGTTCAAACTTCACATGCAGTCAATGTATTTTATTGTTTAATCATTTACTTACTGGTGTAGGACATATACATGAATGTATCATTTGTTGTACCCCATAAAAGACTTGACCCCCCCCCCACCTTAATACATGCTTTTTATGCTTTGCCTGAATTATTTAGCAATTCATATTTTCAGGAGGCAAAGAAGCCCACATCAGCTCCACGCACACTTGAGATGCCTGAATTTTAAAGCAACAATTCTATTTTGTTTTTGTTTCAGCTATCGACATGATCGATAATCTAACTTTTTTGCAAGTCAGAGATGCTGCAGACCCTCTGCCTACAAAGTAGGTGGCCCAGAATTTCTGGCTTTCACTTATGTAAACTTTTATTGGCATTCTAAGTTGGACTTACGTTTAATATTTAAATAATGTAGACTGTTCAGTTTGTAGCGTGTAGTAGGAACTATTAAACTATGTTAATGGGGGGCATGTTTTCTTAACTTTTGATACTCATATCTAACATTTGCCTATATCTCATGAAGTTCTCTAACTGCTAACGTAACACTATGTTTTTTTTTTCTTGACCATTGCCTAGCTGGCTGGTATTTTAATAACAATATTTTATGCTTTTTAAAACACCTTGCTCCTTGTAAGCAACTTAAATATTTTTAGAATATGTTATTTTTCAGACTTTTGAATGAGGAAAAGCAATCATTATTTTTTACTTGTAAACTGCTTAGAGTCACTTAGTGAGATGGGTAGTGTATATATTTGATAGGTACATGAATAGAATAGAATAGAATAGAATAGAATAGAATAGAATAGAATAGAATAGAATAGAATAGAACTGGAAGGGACCTTGGAGGTCTTCTAGTCCAGCCCCCCACTCAAGCAAGAGAATCTGCACCATCTCAGACAGGTGAATGTCCAGTCTCTTCTTAAAAATCGCCAGTGATGGAGCTCCCACAATTTCTGGGGGTAAGCTGTTCCACTGGTTGATTATCCTCACTGTCAGGAACTTTTGTTGCTAAATTAATGTTGCTAAAAAAAAAAAAAAAAACCAGATAGGAGGGAAATTTACTCACCAAGGGAATGAGTAGTGGAAAGTCTTTCACACATCTTGATTATTCATGTGTTCATGGGCAAGGGTCTGCATAACCTTATAAATATATGATGTGCTCCTTTTTATTATTTGATTTCAGGAATTCTATGTTAATCTACAGGAGCAATAGATCACTTAATGAGCAACTACCAAGTGAAAAAGGATCAATGATTACAAACTGGCTAACTTGGATTAGTAGAGCCCAGTTAGGTGGTTATTTCCTTGGTATCTTGGGATCCATTATGTGCATCACTTCAACAGCCACCGAACATTGGAGAATATGGCACGTAGAAAGTCAGGACGGCATGTACCCGGGCGTGGTGTGGATCGGAATCTGGAGGGCCTGTTACCTGCGCAGCACTCATCCCGAAAAAAGGTACGTCCACTGCGAGGAATTCACCGAAGACCTGAGGATGCTGCCCAAGGAAATCTTTTTGGCTCAAGATCTGATGACCTTGAGCTGCATTGTAGGGGCCGTGGCCATCACCCTCATGAGCTTTGCCTTAGGGATTGTGGTCAAAGAGATCAGACAAAAAAAAAATCTGTTCACCTTGTTCACTGTGGGAGGTTTTCTGAACTTCCTAGCAGGAATTATGGTTTTCATTCCAATTTTCTGGAACCTGCATTCCATCTTGGAGAACAGAGACATCCAGTTTCCCGAGTCCTTCAAAATGCCTACACTTCCAAAGAGCCAGGAGGTTGGAGCTGCTATTTACGTTGGCTATAGTGCTGCCGTTTTTTTCCTGGCGAGTGGCATTATGATTATCTGTAATAAAAGTGTTTTGCAAATACATGCAGAAAATGCTTCACCCCCAACCAATGTATCACTGGCGACAACCCAGTTTAGTGCAAACTTTGGTTCCTCGGTGATAATTAACGTAACCAACAGAGAGGAGCTTGAGTCCAGTCTCGATAAGTTAACATCTGTCCATTATTTGGATATAAATCAAGATTCGTCACAATCTATTCATCCTCAACAGCTTTAG